TGATTCTATGATTCTATGAAACACCGAAAAGAGCCTTCCAACAGATTCCAAAGTATCTGTGTACATACAAAAGGAAATCTTACCACCAGCTGCTTGCTAATCTCTTCTCTCTCACTTAATTTGTCTTGCAGGCAGCTTACAAGGTGTGTATCTTCTGGTCTGGACTCCCACTTTCTTGACTTATCTTCTAATTCTTTAAGTCTGTACAAAGAAAGAATGCAGACCAGGAAAAACTTCCTCAGACCAGGTTCAAGAGATACCTGAGCTGTACTCTGCCCTAAATTCCAAGCCTCAAATACAGGGACATAGTCAGGCCCCTCTGATAAAACAGCATTTTTAAAAATGGGCATCTATACATGGATTACATGTAAGTTTAGTATGCTGTGGAGTTCCAAAATAAATTGCCACCAGGGTTAACCCACCATACCTGTCCAGTGTAAAATCCAGCCCCTGGTGTAAAACACTAACAGGTTTGCACATCACATTGCTAGCCCCGTTTCCTACAGAAAAAAACCTGTGTCACTGTACCTACGCATATCTGTACTCTCATCTATTTGTTCTCTTTCCTGACTTTAGAATCCACAGGCTAATTCCAAACATATTTGATACAGACCTCAGAAATACTCAATTCCTGTAACTTCCATGAAAGAAAGGCTTGGATATGCATGCTGCTTTAGTGAACCCTCCAAGTCAAAGCCTGTAGTGCAAGTTCAGCTCTTTAAGTGCCCTAATTGAAAAAGATTCAAATGAGAACTTTCACTTTCTTAGGGATGGTGCAGAAACATAAATCTGATTGACCCATGAGAAAACAAGTCATTATTTCATCAGCCAAGCCCATGAATTTCGCTGCTTGCAAAACTGAGTGCTATGAAGTTCACCTGCCATCCTGAGACATGTATTACAGAATACAAACCAGCATTTTGTGGGGTTTTGCTGGCGAGGGCAGACATTTTTGCGAGGGGACAACCCCAGTTCTATATTCTCAATCTAGTGCATCTCAGCGTTTAGATAAAAAGATAAACGTTAACATCTGAATGGTTTGAGACCTGCTTACATCCAAGCAGGTCTCTCTTTAGGACCTATGATGGACAGTTAGGATAAGAGAAAAGGACAAGGGATATATATAATCACAGGGATTATTTCTGAAGGGCCTCTCCTGTACAACTGATGCGCCACAGAAGTACTAAACTCCACAGGGGGATGCAAAGTGCATTTATTTACATGCTTAGTGTGGGCTGTCCTGGGAAGTTTGCAAGGGAGTGAGAATAAGCAAGAGCTTAACCCCAAAAACGCCACTCTGCTGAACAAAATTAAGTACAAGGTCATGGATCAAGACCTCTGGTGTCATGCGATCTGTGGCAAAGATCATTTTGCACTTCATAAAACTGCAAGATGCTAAGTGCAGGTTTTAATTTAGCATTGTAAAACTATATATAGTGCTTTACATTAAACAATAGTTCTGTCTGCAAAAGAAATACAATTCTATTTCAGCGCTTATAACAGTCTACCTATGAGTAATAAAAAAATCCCCTATACATATTAAGAGCAGTGTTTTCAAACAGAACTCATTGCCAGTATGAGCCAGAGATTATTTAAATGACTTAGTCTCTAAGGAGAAGATCTTTGCTTGGAGATGGGCCCAAGTGCTGCTGAAATCAGACAGTATCTTTTCAATTTCCTTACGGTGATCTTGTTTCAGTATGTCCAGCTCTTTTTTATGCTTGATTTTGAGGTCTTCTACCAATACCCTTTCATTGGTATTAAAATATGTCTGAATTCTCATGTTTCAATACTAGTTTATTATCATTGATCAAAGCATGCAGTCTTGAGGACTTTTGTTGACCGCACTACTGGGTACAGCTCTGGGCTTCTGCTGACTGATTTGAGTTTTGAAGCATCAGCTGCAATCTGAAGCAGAACCACACTAACACTGAGGAAGTGGAAAACTATTTGGAGATGTACTTGACCTTCAGCCCTCAGGAAAGAGGGTCTATTCTGCAGAATGATGCTATTGATATTCTGTCTAAGGTTAGTTTGTACATCAGTCTTCACAGTCAAACATGACAACAGAAGTGCCACAGGAGCTCACTTCTTAAGTCAGCAAATAATTAAGCAAAATTATTTTGAAATCTCTGGGATTTTGACATGAAGCTCTGCTGCTGTATTTCACCACATCATGGCACCAGAAACATTTAATACTGCCTACCACCATCCTAAAAATACATATATATTTTTTTAAAGTGAAGGTAAAAAACGTTATAAAAATGCCTTTAACTGCACCATTTGCCTTTAACGGGCAGTATATTTTGCAAGATACTATTTGATTAACACTGTCAATTGAAAACTAAAAAATACCTCACATTTTTTTAAACCTAGCCATAACATTGTTTTCTGGTACCAACCCCAAAATCAATAGACACCTACTGAAGAATCAGTTAGCTTGTTGCCTTGTGTTTGCTGATGTTTTGTTAAACCTAGGAGAAACATTTTCATTAACTCAATGCAGAGCCCATGCTCTGTTGTTTACTGATTAAAACAGAGATGTCAAAACTCAGCAGATCAACAACTGTAATTTTCACAGAAGATATTGTTTGCATTTTTTTAATGTATTTCTAAGCCCCTTTCACTTCTTTCTGAAATGCTTCAGGGAAGGCCAAAAGGCTCACAAAAGGTTTCTGCCCTTGAAATTTGAAGACAGCCATGGGAGTGATGATTTGGCACTTGGCACAAAGTAAGAAGCAGAAGAATCAGAGTAAAAATGGGAGCAGAATCCTTGAAATGGATCTTCAGAGGTAGAGTAACAGCTGTCCTTCAGAATAGCCATACTGGGCCTTGTCCTCTCTTTCCATTAAAAAATCCTAATCCTTTTGAAAGGTTTATGTAGTGGAGGTGGAATTCACACAATTCAAGAGGATGGAAATGGGAATGATTACTGCAGGCAGATTACTGTTTTCACTTACTTGGCAACAGTAGGAAGAGTAGTTCTAAATAACCGGTTATAAAAATTTGGCACATGCAAATCCCAAGCCACTATCAGCTTTCAAATCAGTAACAACTGTATAGCATAAGACAAAGTCACTGTTGTTAAGGTATCAGTAAAAAAGCCATTATTTATGTGTACCCACCAACTTACCTAGTCCCCTACCCAAATTATTAGTCCTGCAAAAGCAAAACAAGAGCTGGAAGTTAGTGTTCCAGATCTTCCATGCAGTGATTTCAGCGCAGCCTGTATGAGGTGCCTAGGACCTTTTGAGCTCTTTTGCTCTACCTCCGGTTATTTGAAGGATTTCTCCTTATGTAATTTCCATTAATGCTTCCTTCTCAATGCTTACTGTAGTAGAGCTACACTATCTATCCCCTGTGAAGATTATCCTCCAGCCCAGCAGCTTTAGGATTTGAGGCCTTTTAGACCTCCTCACTGACATGCGAATAATTCTTCTCTTCACGAACAGAGGCTCTAAATTCCTTCAAGGTAGCTGGAGGGCACCGATGAAACTCTCTGGTTTGCAATTCTTTCTGTTGATCTTGCTTCGAAAGCTTGAAATGAAAGTCACTTTCAAGTAACTCTCCAAAGAGTGGAAAGAGGGGAAAAAAAAAAGTTTCTTTCTCATTCTTTAAATAACTGCTGACTGGTAGGAATTACTCTGCCACTCTGACCGTCTGCTGAGAGACACTGTGTCCCTTGAGTGCTTTTCTCTAGATTATATAGGACATAATTTTAAAGATTCCTTTAAGGTTATACTCTTCAGAAATCCTTTTATATATACAGCTTGAGCAGTTAAGGGCATGCATTCTACACCGCTGCAGAAATTAACTGAAAGTTTCCCATGCACCAGATCCCGCAATCTCTCCGCAAAAAGAACGTGTTAAGCATGATCATACAGAAATTTCAAAGGATTCAACAGCCATACAAATGCACTGGGCAGCTAATACCAGTCTTGTCTCCCTTGTAAAAGGTAAGTCCTGCACTTTTTCTGTAGGCAAATGGGAGGACTGCTATTCCTGCAACGCAACACATGCTCCGAGCCTGTGGCTACACTCAGGGGATGTTGTCCGCCTACAAGACAGCCAAGGCTTCCTGTGCCCTGAGAGCATACTACAGCTCCAGGCTTCATCTGCCAGAGGAACTGCCAGTGTCTGCAATCACTGCTCTTACTCCCCCAGTGTACAGCTGGCTGTTAACAGCCAAAGCAAAGTCTCACAGAGCACATAACTGCCTTCCCAAGTGTCCCCTTTGGAGTTAATAACCCATTGGTTTCAGCTACAGAGAGTATGTATGAAAAATGGGTATTTATTCTCAGAGACTTCTATGGATTTTTATTAGCTTTTGGGTGAGTTTGGGATTTATGACTTCTAGTGCCTTTCAAAGGCTGATATTATGCAGACTTCCCCAGGTCACTGCTGTGGGGCTACACAGGACATACTTCTCCGTGACATATAAATGCAACAGTTAGTTCAAATGCTTTTATTAGAGCTGGAAAGAAATGTGAAATGAACTACTACTTCTGCAAAACTCTTACCCTCTAAAATTAGTACTTCAGAAAGAAGAGATTCTGACACTCATCACATTTAGAACAACGCTGATGTTGGTATTATTACTGGCTCTCTAGATAGCCCTGTGAAGTGTGAATTTAAGGCAAACCTTCTGTGCTGTTTGTCCCTATCCTGAAGCTGTGCAGCTTCTTGCTTCTGCGACTCCAACTCATCACTGAGTAGCTCCATTGTGTCCTTCAAAAGCAAATTCTCTTTCTTGAGTTCGGAAATTTCACTCTGACTTTTTTCCAGTTCATCATGAAGAGATCTGATCTGGCTCTGGCTACTTCCTTCCTAAGAAAAAGGCCAAACTTAGTTATTCAAAGCCTCTTATTATTTAATGTGAAGATATCACTGGAATTGTGTGCCTTGAGTTTTTGTGAACTGATTTTTCAATTATATATGCAATTCTATGACCAAGACAAACTCTGTGATCAAAACTTCCTAAACATATTTCAGTCTCCATAAAAGTTATTTTAGTGCAACATGCATTCATACACTCACTTACGTTGTAGATTCTGGTCTTTACATGGAAATAGCCTGCCCACAGGGAAAAGATGATAAACCATGGTAACATTCTGAAGTGTGACATAAGGGAAGGAAACCCATTCCGTTTCTGTAAGACACTCTGTACACATTCCTAATCTCTCTCTCGAGAAATGTGATACTACTGCTTTTGCAAAACATGACATGGCATGCAAGTAGGAACTGGATTCTTGCCTGTTGCTTCTTCAGTGTCCTCACACTCCTCAGCTCCATTTGGAGTTCTGCTATTTGTTTCTTGAGATTAGTGCACGATGTCTGTTGCTCAGAGAGTTCCATCCTTAGAGATCCTAGTAACAATCAGACAGACAACCATCATGGCAGTCAGAGGCCAGCTGGATGGGGAACATAGATCTAGGCAGTGTAGATGAACACATTAATGCATGAGATTTTGTTTTGTTCTTCAACTCCTTCACCATTAAGTATAATAAACACTCCGGTACCAAAGTCAGGCCTCCCATTACTAGAGAAGTAACTCAGTTCATAGAATCATAGAATCATATTTGGTTTGGGTTGGAAGGGACCTTAAAGCCCATCTAGTCCCACCCCCCCTGCCATGGGCAGGGACACCTTCCACTAGACCAGGTTGCTCAAAGCCTCGTCCAGCCTGGCCTTGAACACTTCCAGGGATTGGGCATCCACAGCTTCTCTGGGCAACCTGGTCCAGTGCCTCACCACCCTCTCCAGGAAAAACTTCTTCCTGATATCTAATCTAAACCTCCCCACTTTCAATTTAAACCCGTTACCCCTTGTCCTGTCACTACAGGCCCTTGCAAAAAGTCCCCCCCCCAGCTTCCTTGTAGGCCCCTTCAGGTACTGGAAGACTGCAATTGCAGTTGAGCAATAGGAAGAAGATACGGAGCTACAATAGCAATGATTCCACATTGGAATCAGGAGGTAATTCTGTGGCATTTGTTTTAACTTTTATAGATGAGCTTTAATAACCCGAGTTCAAACACGGAGGTATTACAGATCCTCCTAATGCAGTGTTCTGTTTGGTTCTGAACAGTTTAGGGAAGTTTCTAAACTGACTAAAATAATACGTATGGAGCAACTGATCTCCACTGCTGAACTCGACAGAACAGGTATGAACCACATGTAATAATTCTTCAGCCACACATATTAACTACAGGATTCCAATCTGATATGCCTGCTATTGCATACTTGACTGCTGTACACCAGACTACTCTCCCAGCAGCATTCTACTGCTGACAGCTGAGAGCTAGATTAACAAAGTGTGTATTGCTGAAATTGCAGGGTATGGAAAAGGATAGTCACAAAGACCTGAATTCCCAGAAGATGGGAAAGAACAGTCAGTGCTTCTCAGCAGATAATTAAGCAGTAGGAGCTGTGCATGACATGAGACGTTATACCTAGCAATAGGGTTTGCTTCTTCTGCATCTGGTCCAGTTCATCATGTAATTCTTTCTTTGCTTTCTCTTCCAAGGCTTGAATTTCCAGCCTATGAGACTGATGTTGGATCTTGAAAGTCTCATTAAATTCTTTTTTCAAACGTTCTTCTGCCTCCTGTAAGCAAAAGCGCCCCCCCCAAAAAACCCCGAAGTAGTTGGGTTTTATTAAAGCTGGGATTTTATTCTGAATATATAAACAAGATATTAAATTCTACTTAGCATGGTGTTACTAGTTTTATAAGGAGGTAGATACCAACAGGGACATCGGAACTCCATATCACAATCACAGTCTGTATTTTTAAAGTTGATTTTTTTTCCTCAAACAGCAACATTCTTTAGAACCTGAATATATTGCATTAACGTTTTGTCACTGAAATAAATCCACTTGAACCTTCACAAGCTTTGGTTATCCACTTACAGAATTAATTTCTTGAAGGTATCTAGGGCAATACACACCATTGTACATGTCTATTATACTTCTTTTAAAGTATTTATGCATAAATTAATAATGGATGAAAAGGAATAAAACTGAGTCCTGTTAATAATACACTTAGGAATTCCCTTGTATTTCTGAAGCAAGAGCACAGCTAGAGGAGCCTGTATTCATCGCAGCCTAATTGTAGAGGGTAGGTTATGCTGCTTTATGAAACTGTTTCCTTCACACTGTGGCCTCAGTTCAAATGTTAAAATTAAAAAAAAACCCAAACCAAACCCAAAAAAAAAACCCCAAACAACCTGAAGATGTTGAGGTTTCAAAATCATGGCATAATTCATTATGTGCAACACTGGCAACCCATCATTAAGATGAGATAACTGAGGTTTGATAATTGGCTCTAGCTAATATGGTTTATCCCACAAATGCAATTTTTTTTTCCCACTAGTATGTTGTAAACTGACCTTGAGTTCCTGATTCTTGCTTTTCTCCAACATGTTTAAGACTTTTTGATGTGATGCCTCCAGCTGCAGTTTAACATTCTGGTTTTCTTTAATGGTGTTTTGAAGATCCTGCAAAAGCTTCTCTTTTTCTTTGTTGGACTGTAGATTATGCTTCTTCAGTGACTCCTTGAAATTATTTGCTTGTTGATCGAGTATTTGCTTCAGCTGAGCCACCTTCCAGAAAAGTAAATCAGGAGGATAGGATTAATGGCTGCATTCACAATGGAAAGGAATTATGTAAATTTGAGTACATTTTATGAACTTGTGTCCCTCTGTGAAAAATAGCAAGGTGCTTGTTTCGTGCAGGGATCTCTTTTTTTCCAGTGAAGAATGATTTCCCTTTTGCATATACTGTCTGTTGCCCATCAAGTACATTTCTTACATTATTTCTTTTCAAATCGTCTCGATCTCATACGTACAATCCATAGCTCAAGTGGCACAAGAATTATGGCACAAACCAGGAGGCAGGCCTAAGGCTGCTTTTATTGTCATCCTGGAGATGTAACACTGCAGAGCCCATTTATATAAAGCAGTAGATTAGAAACAAGAATTCTGCACATCATGCTTCAGATTTGTTTTATTTTCTCCCTTCCCGCACCTTAATTACTAAATACAGTAGACGTGCCTATAATGGCTGACACAAAAGTAACAAAAAGTACCTGTTCATATGAATAACTTGGTGGGGAAGGAAGGAAGAGTCTGTTCTCTTTTCTATTTGGTAGGTTTTCTAAACTTTCAGCAAAAATTTGTATTTGCCCTCCATCTTAAATTTGCTATTCCAAACATCATAGCTGTGAAATTCTGAAAAACTGCCTTCTGCACAGAAGGAACATGCATAATTAGTAAAGCCAATTAGCATTTTTGTTGTTGTATCTGGCTTCCAAGTCTGCTTTTTTGCTGTGCCATGCCTCCTGCAAAATCTTTGTGTCTCTCACCTTTTCTGTTTGGGAGCATGTGAAGGAGGATGCTGTGTTTTCCAATTTTTATATACATGTATTTTCTAGCCTTAGGGAAAAGGAATTCAAACTATGAAATGAAGAAGTTTGCTTCCTTAGAATTTCATGTGACTTTAAAGGATTCAAATGATGTTATACACACCTGCAAATTGGGTATGATGCAGATTATAAACAGTGACTCCATCCTATTCTTTCCTCTACACTAATAGGTTCTTTTTCTCTTCTTCCATGTTGCCTTCACTGTAGCTTTAGCTAGCTATTTACTTGTAACTTCAAATGGTTCTTTAGGATGCAGCACCACAAAAGCTGGATGAAGATTTACTAAGTGAGTGTCGTGGTTTAACTCCAGCCAACAGCCATGTACCATGCAGCTGCTCGCTCACCTTGCCTCCCAGGTGGGATGGGGAGGAGAATCGGAGGAAAAGACAAGGGTTGAGATAAGAACAATTTAATAATTAAAAATAAATGATATAATGATACTAATTGTTTTTAATTTTTGGGGGCCTACAAGGAAGCTGTGGGAGGGACTTTTTTACAAGGGCCTGTAGTGACAGGACAAGGGGTAACAGGTTTAAACTGGAAGTGATTTAGATTGGATATCAGGAAGAAATTCTTCCTGGAGAGGGTGGTGAAGCACTGGAACAGGTTGCCCAGAGAAGCTGTGGATGCCCCATCCCTGGCAGTGTTCAAGGCCC